GGTAACCTAGAGAGTGCCAAAGAATATCCAAGTCTCAGAATAGCGCGTTATAGACGACAGAAACGAGATTCGTAAATAGCAAACACTGCCATGCTAAATCGGTGCAGCCAAATTATGTTTCTTGAGCAGAAGTTTTATTCAGAGGCTTCCAAATTAAAATTAAACTTTGGCAAAAGCTGCTATTGAGTTATGGGAAGAATATGAGCTAGCTTCAAGATTTTTAATTGATGTCATAATCAATTATACATCCTCAAAATGAAAATTTTTCATAATGATTGTGTTATTGACAGAGCTAAAAATAGTATTTTAGATTATGAATGTATTATCAGTGCTTGTATCTATGGTACAATTATTTCTTTCATATTCCAATCATAAAGCGTGTAAATTTCAATGGGGTTATGAATTCCATTTGATTATAATGTTAAATGGTTAAAACTGAACATCGGGGAATAACTTTCTGTTCAGATGTTCACGCACTCGTATGATGAAGAATATATGATATGCCTGACTGTAGACCGATAGGGACGACTTTGGGCACATAAAACTTAGTGTACCGTTTAATCTCGAAAATATATCTACTAAGCATAATAAATCTACGATCCGGTAATTCTCAATGCAGCATGAAAGTGAACACTTGACAAACTGATAACAATTATTCTGACGATTTCCCGAACATGCATACATTCACATATCTCCGGAATCTAGTCGATTCCGACGACTTCCAGGACTGAAATACTAGGTAACCTAGAGAGTGCTAAAGAATATCCAATTCTCAGAAGAACCCGTTATAGACGACAACAACACAGGCTATTAAATAGAAAACACTGCCATGATAAATCGGTGCAGCCAAATTAAGTTTCTTGAGCAGAAGTTTTATTCAGAGGCTTGCGAATTCAATATAAGATTTGGCAATAGCTGCTATCGAGTTTTGTTTATAATATGAGCTAGCTTGCAGATTTTTAATTGAATTCATAATTTATTATATATCCTTGAAATGACAATGTCTTATAATGATTGTTTTATTGACAGAGCTAAAAATAGTATTTATATTATGAATGTATTATCAGTGCTTGTGTCTATGGTACAATTATTTCTTTCATATTCCAATCATAAATCGTGCAAATTTCAATGGGGTTATGAATTCCATTCGATTATAATGTTAAATGGAAAAAACTGAACATCGGGGAATAACTTTCCGTTCAGATGTTCACGCACTCGTATGATGAAGAATATATGATATGCCTGACTGTAGACCGATAGGGACGACTTTGGGCACATAAAACTTAGTGTACCGTTTAATCTCGAAAATATATCTACTAAGCATAATAAATCTACGATCCGGTAATTCTCAATGCACAATGAAAGTGAACACTTGACAAACTGATAAGAATTATTCTGACGATTTCCCGAACATGCATATATTCACATATCTCCGGAATCTAGTCGATTCCGACGACTTCCAGGACTGAAATACTAGGTAACCTAGAGAGTGCTAAAGAATATCCAATTCTCAGAAGAACCCGTTATAGACGACAGCAACACAGGCTATTAAATAGAAAACACTGCCATGATAAATCGGTGCAGCCAAAGTAAGTTTCTTGAGCAGAAGTTTTATTCAGAGGCTTGCGAATTCAATATAAGATTTGGCAAGAGCTGCTATCGAGTTTTGTTTATAATATGAGCTAGCTTGAAGATTTATAATTGATGTCATAATCAATTATACATCCTCAAAATGAAAATTTTTCATAATGATTGTGTTATTGACAGAGCTAAAAATAGTATTTTAGATTATGAATGTATTATCAGTGCTTGTGTCTATGGTACAATTATTTCTTTCATATTCCAATCATAAATCGTGTAAATTTCAATGGGGTTATGAATTCCATTTGATTATACTGTTAAATGGAAAAAACTGAACATCGGGGAATAACTTTCCGTTCAGATGTTCACGCACTCGTATGATGAAGAATATATGATATGCCTGACTGTAGACCGATAGGGACGACTTTGGGCACATAAAACTTAGTGTACCGTTTTATCTCGAAAATATATCTACAAAGCGTAATAAATCTACGTTCCTGTGAATCTCGATGCAGCATGGAAATGAACACTTGACAAACTGATAACAATTATTCTGACGATTTCCCGAACATGCATACATTCACATATCTCCGGAATCTAGTCGATTCCGACGACCTCCAGGACTGAAATACTAGGTAACCTAGAGAGTGCTAAAGAATATCCAATTCTTAGAAGAACCCGTTATAGACGACAGCAACACAGGCTATTAAATAGCAAACACTGCCATGATAAATCGGTGCAGCCAAAGTAAGTTTCTTGAGCAGAAGTTTTATTCAGAGGCTTGCGAATTCAATATAAGATTTGGCAAGAGCTGCTATCGAGTTTTGTTTATAATATGAGCTAGCTTGTAGATTTTTAATTGAATTCATAATTTATTATATATCCTTGAAATGACAATGTCTTATAATGATTGTTTAATTGACAGAGCTAAAAATAGTATTTTAGATTATGAATGTATTATCAGTGCTTGTGTCTATGGTACAATTATTTCTTTCATATTCCAATCATAAATCGTGTAAATTTCATTGGGGTTATGAATTCCATTTGATTATAATGTTAAATGGAAAAAACTGAACATCGGGGAATAACTTTCCGTTCAGATGTTCACGCACTCGTATGATGAAGAATATATGATATGCCTGACTGTAGACCGATAGGGACGACTTTGGGCACATAAAACTTAGTGTACCGTTTAATCTCGAAAATATATCTACTAAGTATAATAAATCTACGATCCGGTGATTCTCAATACAGCATGAAAGTGAACACTTTACAACCTGATAACCATTATTCTAACGATTTCCCGAACGTGCATACATTCACATATTTCCGGAATCTAGTCGATTCCGACGACTTCTAGGACTGTTTTCTCTAGGTAGCCTAGAGGTTGACAATAAGCTTTGTTAATAATTGCAATAGTGGAAATTTTTGTTATGATTGTCCCACAAAATCAATCTTTTTCGTTGTTTTGTTAACTTCATTATTTTTTTTCATGTCTTTCTCATATTTTCAATAATTTTTCTTCACAATATAATAATAATTACGAGCATGTAATTAGTTGTTACGTATCTATTTATTCATTATACGCGTTTAATTGCTTCTGAATGTCGTTTGAAACGATTTAAAATTGTTTATATAAGTCTTCTGAAACGGTTATTATTCAAAAGTCGTCTAAAGCGAAAAAGTCGTTCAAAACGATTATTGATGTTAAGTCGTCTGAAACGAATTATAGCAAGAAATCATTCAGACGACGTCGTCTAAATAGGCAAAAGTCGTCTGAAGCGGTTACTTTCACGGTAAAAAGTCGTCTGAATCGATTTTTGACATACATATATATATATATATATATATATATATATTTGATCGCCATTCATAACTAGTTTAATTATAAATTTGCCCATCCTATTGTTTTTGAGAAACCAAATAAGTACTTAGCTAAATGTTTTCATAATTTTTTTTGAAGACTATCGAAAAATATTTCACTTAATACGCAAAATAATTAATTGATGTACAAAGCCGTTGTATATGTTTCGCGTTTACCACGCCTTCGGCATTCATGCCGCAGGTCGATGCCGCAACCCTTGATGCTACGTTGTCGAGCAAACAACTAAATCAATCCTGATAATTTAATTGTCTGAACACTTCTTTGTTTTTTGTCTAAAAATCTTATTATTGTTAAATATAATTATTTAATTAAGACTAATTATCGTAGTATGGAAGTACAATCGTGATTACAGAATTGATCAACGATATTAATTCGAAGAAGTAAAACAGTCTTTAAAAAATTATTATAAAAAAATCTTACACCCATGTATTTGTTAATTTATCAGTAACAATAATTGATATTATTTTACAAACAATATAAATGGTCTAGTTTAGTCTAAAAAATGAGGTACAGACAACCTAGCCTGTTGCATTTTGGTAAATAAACTAAATTGAATAAAACTACAGTAAATTGATAGCATTTTAGAAATTCTTGCTCGTTTAATTTTTTTTTTTTGTAAAATAAACAAGAAGCTTTTTACGTTTCGTCTAAAAATTGAGTTGAGTTCTATATACTTACAAAGAAATCTTTCCGTGCCAGTTATGAGTTTTTAATTGTCTAAATGTTATTCAATCACCATTTTATTTGCAGTAATTAAAAAATAATTAATTGATTGAATTAATTTGCCCACACAATATTACTGCAAATTATACACGATACTATAATGTAGAATTTGATAAAAACACAACAAAAAATATAATTAATTATTTAGCCGAGATTTACATGTCAAATATGTCAATATTATAATATTACACAAAATATGTATAATTTTTATGAACAAAAAATATTCTATACATATGTCTATTAAAAATAAGTTACGATTAGTATACTTAGAATAACATAAAAAAAAAACAAAGATATCTTTCGATTGACCTAACCCATATGTTAAAATGGATAACAATTATATGTTTGTAATTAAAAAATTAATATCAGAAAGAGGTTTTTGTACATAAAATTATACGTTCATTTCCATAAATCACCGTAAATTTATTTATAACATTGTTAAAACACCATTTCTTCAATTTAAAATAATTCCATGCATGTAAATAAAAATCATAAAATGACATGCATATACAAATTTTGATTATTCTTACCACTATCAGTTTAGCTTCGATTTTAAGATGAATAATACTAATATTCCACCTGAAAATGATTAATAAATACCTTCTAAATGTCTGAATTTTACTCGTAAGCTCAGCTCATGTAATTTCAGAGAAAAATAGTAGCTTGTGACTTCGCGCCAAATTGCACTTGAGAGCGGGAAACATGGAATGAGAGGAATAGAAAACAGTTGCTCGGTAGAGCGTACGGAAGTTGGCTGCGTATACAGATTCAGGGAGCCTTTTTTCCAAAGTAAACTATCGAAACTCCAGCCTGATCTCCATTCAATACTAATACTCGTCTATGAACGAAACTTACTAAGAAAAATTTAATTTAATTTTGAAGCATATATTTTAATTGATAGAACTGAATAAGATATTACAAAGTGTAAGCTTACAAGTCATTCTGTGAAAATTTAATTATTTATTAAAAGCAATAATCATGGCTATTGGAGATCTCAAAACTGAAAAAGGTGTTCAAGATTTAAATGCTTATCTTTCTGAAAGAAGTTACATTGATGGGTAAATATGTTTTTTCCCTATGTTTGTATTTTATATTTCTTCTAATTAAATTTACAATAATATTAAAGTAAAATGATATTCTTAGGGGCATGGAATAACTAGATATATTCCTTTAATTTCATTTAATACTAAACACTGTTGTTTGATGTACCCTACACTATAAGCCTGGGTGAGGAAGTGCATGCTTGCATGTGTAATTATGAAATTATTCTGTTTTCAATTATCATGCATGTATATATATGTTATGTAAGATTTGTGTACTTTATATATGATTACTTAAATTGAAACCCTAAATTTGAGTTGGACACAAAATGGAAATTCTTAAGTAACAATTATTCCTCTGTGCTCATTAATCGCTATCATAATTCCTTGAAAGTGGTTTGACATTTTAATAGTTAATCTCTAGCTGATCTTTGGAATTGTACAATAGCAAATAATGATATCACATTTATTTCAGTACTGGAAAATATAGCTTAATCTATATGATATGGTTTAATATACAATATGGTTTGGTATATCCTCTTATTTGTTACTTCATTTACTGAGAGTAAAAATGTTTTCAAATCAAATTCAATATCCTTTGCCTTTATACTATTTAAGTATAATATTAGTAAAATGTTAATTAGAGAATGATAGAAGCTGTAAATAGGAATATGGAATATTATGTTGAAAATAAGTAAGAGGTCTTCTTTTGTACAAAAACAAAGAGTCCTTTTCACAATTTTAACCCATGAGTTCTTTGAATTAAAAATTTATTGGGATTATATCTAGCAAAATACCATATTACAAGAATATGTATTTGAGTCAATAAATATATTCCCCTTGGTAAAAAGTTTTAATGATTTATTAGGTACAATCATTATATTTTAAACATTGATAACTTTAAAAAATAATATATTAAACAATTATAAACTAATTTTTTATATAATTTAATTTTTGTTGGACCTTGTCACTAAAATTTCAAGCAAAGTTATCGAAAAATATAATAGGAGTTTAAAAAAAATTTGAATTAATTGCCTATAAATGCAGTTATTATTTTTTAATTTTTATGATTTTTCACTAATTTGTTAAGAATAATTCCTATAAATCTTCTGTAAAATATAAAATTGACTGAAAAAAATTAATGTATTAATTAGGTATTCTATAGAATCTAGCTAGCTACAGTCAACAAGTTGCTGAAAAATGGAAGAATAGACTATCGAAATAATCATTCCCAACTGTCTGTCTTCATTAAAACACTCAGTAATTAAGAGTGATTAAATTAAAAGAGTGATTAAACACTCAGTAATTAAATCTTGCAGTTATTTGAATACAATATTTGAATTTATTAAAAACATAGTTATTATTGATCGTTATTTTTTGTTGAAACAAGTTAGTATACAATAACATGTAGAATTTCATTTTGATAGTTATGGAAATATTTATTAAAATATTGGAGTTTGGGTTAAGCCCTGAAAAAATAAATATGAAAATTTAAGATATATATAAGGTTAAGATATAATTTAAGATATAATTTATATATAAGGTTTGTCTAAAATTTTCTATTTCATACAAAATAGATAAAAAATTTTTAAATTAATTTTTCTTATTAATAAAAATGTATTAATTATCAATAAGTATTTTACAATTGAATGTTTTATCGCATTAATTATATAATTATCTAAGATAGCACTTTTTGTTTTTCAATGGTCATAGCAATGTAAATGATTTTTAAAAAGTCAATACAATAAATAAAATATTAAAACTCAATACAACTGCCCATTGGTGATTTATCACTTGTATTTGCGGTACCTTCAGGATCTTGTTATTACGTAAAACAACAATTATACATTATGTAATTAACAACTATAATATAATAAAAAAACCTCATGGCAACTGTTATTCTAAAATACACTTATAATACCCATAACATTCACATCATTCAATACCAGTAGCTAAAAACTATATCTTGTGTAAACTAAAAATCTATATATTTGATATGTCCATAACAAACACATATTATGTGTATAGTCACGACTTATACTTGCACACTTGAATATTATAATTGCTATGATAGATTTACAGCAATGAGTCATTTTCATTGAACGTGTGATGAAACCATGAGGGTTGGGGGGAAGTTCTATAAAATAAGTAGGATAGTCCGAGTACTAAAATCCGTCTCATTAAACCTAATCACAGCTTAAATTCTGCTATATTCAAAACTACGAAATTGAGTACCTTATTATTTATTAATATTATACATAACGGAGTAATTCAACCGTTAACTCGAAAAGTTATACACACGGCAGTCCACACAAATTATTTAACAAGGGATAATTCGGGAAGCGTGAACGTTCCAACAGCTGAATAATATACCGGATGTGTAGATTTTCGTATGCGAAACTAACGCTAGGTCAGGGATTGATGATAGACGAAACACAGTGACATTCAATTACATTAAATTTTCTTTAATTATAACACACAAAAATAAAAAATAATATAATGGCCCGCAGATCAACTCAGTTGGGATGAACTTACTGGCATTAAGACTGAATAATAAGAAATTCATAAAATTTAATGTAAATCATCAATATATGTCTTGTTGAAAATAATTAAGTCAATTTCCTACGTAATTTTCGAAGGTCATTTTCTGAGCTTATTGGACGTGTGAGGAGTTGAAGCAAAAAAAGACGTCATCTAATAACGTTATTGTATTCACACAAACTTTTTATTTCTAAATAAAATAAAAACATTTAAGGTAAAACAGTTTGCTAAAAAATAATAATGACGTCAGGTCTACTAAATGACGTTATATTTACCATCGTAAGTGTCCTTGAAAAGAATGACGCCTTCTTCAACAAACAACGTAATTAAATTATGAGTTATATAATTTTCACGTTTTCATTTTATGGTATAGGTAGGGATTGAATACTTTTTATTGACGTATTTAGAGTAATTGTTATAAAATTTATATCCTTATATATTATTAATAAGACTACAAATTTGGTAAGTTTCATTATTACATTCCATTGTAAAATTACATTTATAACTATAATCTTCGTATGTACAGATTAGCAGTCATCAAAAATCAGTTGAGCAGGTATTGATTAATTCGAAGTATACAATAAGGAGGAAAGGCTAGATAATAGGCTAGTTAACTCAGTAAAATTGTGGCCAATTTATATTTATATTTAAAATTTGGACACGTTCCATTATAAAATTTTACGTGTGTGTTCTTCACACACTTATTACAATTTATTGGATATCCATATAAATCTTCTAATGAATATCCGGAAAGCTTCTACCTAAATTCTTTGATCGCAAAGCGATGTGTACACAAGAACTCTTGAAGTCTGACCATTTGGCGTTGTTCTCTGGTTATGTTGATTTTTCGCCTCTTCGTCAATGATGAAGTTGCGAATATCTTTGCAGCAATAGTTGAAGATAGACGATCAACGGCCGTAAGATTAAAACTGAAGAAGCTAAGGTGTCTCTGTTTTATATATATGGGCGTACCCCTAATTAACTAGCAATGTCCCCTTACTATCGATGCAGAGGCGCTCATTTCAAATGACTCGTTACACCATGTAAACACATTTTATTTAAGATATTAGTATTAATAGTTTTCAAGTTTTCACTAATAGCTGATATTCTTTTTATTTGAAAGTTATGAAAATCATCATTATGAATGATGCCAGACGCAGTTATTGTTTTACATACAGTATATTCGCGCTTATTTAATCTGTCGACAATGAAAAAATCATGAACTTATTATGAGTTGTTTGCGTAAAAGAATTATTTGATTTTATTCTTATTAAATTGTAAGACAAATATATAGATTGAATTTTCACTATTTTTTTATACACTAGGGCTGAATCAGATAGATTTAATTCTCTTATCTACTGAGGCGGTAGATAGGAAAATGTATCAAAGTATCTTCCAGCGTTTGATATCAATACTTTAGCATATTCGTGTATCTAAATATATAATGTAGGTAATGATTACTAAATTGGAACATTTTGTAACATAAACTTCATAAGGGCAAACTCTCTTTCTCTTATCCTAATAATTCTACAAGTTTGATGTAGAACACCTTTAGCAGTATGTAGTTACTTAACAATTTGATCTTTGCCATTTTCAAAACTATAACCAGAATGATAAAACGATGAGTCCCAATTAATGACACTGTGCTGCATGAAGTAACAGATGCAGGTTATTGCACTTTTTAAATAATAAAATTCTGTTAGTGCCATAAATATCGTAAGTAAGCAATGTGATTCGTGTCTTTGTTCTTTATTAATACTTTTTTACTTAAGTAAATAATAAACTTTCACTAAATAAGACCAATGTATAGCACAACATTTCATTCTGAGAACCATATTTAAAGTAATAGTACTATAATATAAAATCCAACTTTATACTTCTTTAGCTTTCTAAATTTTCTGTCTCATACACAGCGACAGTTTCGCATTAGCTTACAAGAAATCTTTAATGTTTAATTACATTAACAATTTGATTGGTTTTTACATTAGTTAAGGAATAAGGCATATTAATTGTGTCAGACCGGTATTTCAGGAATTGCTTTCCAATAAATCCTTAATCAAGAAAATGCATTGGATCTGGAATAAACCCGAATACTTTATTGAAACATCTTAAACGGGTGAAAACAGTGTCATTAACAACACCGCTAACAGATTATGCAGATTAAATGGCCTGTTTCGCGTATCGCAGAGTATCTACTTCATTTCTATCGTTTATTGGTTGATTCAATAGAATGTATTTTACGCTACCACCATTACCGATTACAATGTAGTATTCCGGGTGCAAACATCAATTATACCCAAAATAGTACATTACGATACAAGCGCGGGAAAGTAGAGTCCTGTTTCGCGTGGTGTTTACACCCGAGCGAAGCGAGGGTGGAAAAGTACACGAGACGACAAACTCTTTCCCGAACATGTGCCGTACCGTATTTTTTTATACGACGTGTGGAAAGTGCGATTTTTAACGCACGTTTTTAT